AGTCATTTTTTAACTAAAAAAGTCATTTTTTTGTTTTTTTAATTACAAAAACGTCAAGTCTGACGTTTTTAATAAAAAAATCAATTTTTTTTATATTTAATTATAAAAACGTTTGATGACCTGACCCAAAATTTTCGAGTCAATCTGACAGTATAATGATTATAACTCACTAATAATTACCAAGTTACTCTAGTTGTTCTAATACAATTTCAGGAACAACCGGAACATTTTTTATAAATCCCATCATTTCCAAATTAGGCATACGAATATCAGATATTGGACGGACACCATTTGTTGATAAAATTGATAATGGTTGTTCTAAACAATCAATAAATTGGGATCCTGCTATTTTACCAATTTTCTCATTTGGCGTACTAGGATAGAATGTAAAGTGTCTTAAAGCGTATGCTGCTTGTCTTTCAAATAATGTACGATCATGCTCATTATATAATTGCTTTATCTGATTCCACACGTCAAATGACCAAAAACAGGCAAAAAAAATGGCTAGAATTGCATAAACTATTCGCAAATTTATATAAACTATTTACAAATAGTATAGGTTAATTTGCAAATAGCCAAAAACAGCCAAGAATAGCCAAGAATAGCCAAGAATAGCCACTGCTTTTCGCGCCATTTTTTTTGCCGATTTTTAGCATTTCAACCTGTGTTCATTTCATTTTCGTATAAAATCCTACATAATGTTCCTGCTAAACATAACATCTCTCCGTTATATTTGGCTAAAGTTTCGTTAGCCATATCAACTAACACTCGCGACATCTAGATAATAAAAATTTAATTAATATAAAGGAAATTTATCAATAAGATATTGTATATCAGATTACGTACCGTAGGAATTACACGAGCTGCCAAGTTAGAACTACAACCTGTAGTTTGATCAGTTGAGAAACCAATATAAATTTTTCCTTGTTTAGGATACGGTGAGATCCCCCAATTCCCTCTGTCATCTATTTACAGAGTTGCCACATTGAACGGGCATTCTCATGGTCGAACGAACGAATGAACGAACGAACGAACAATTGAACAAACGGACAAATTATCAACAACATAATTAACATAATCAACGAACAACATACAACAACATATAACGGCAACATTCTTGGTTCACGACGTAAATAGCGTTAGTAATATAAAACGTTGAACGATATAAAATAAAATTAACTTCTCTAAATTTTCCCCAAATTATATCCACTTTTACCTTTAATTTCAAACTTCGATAGCTCTCGCTACGAATTATTACTTTTCAAAAACATATATTTAATTCATCTTAAAATTTTCATTTATTTAATTAAAATTAATTAAGCGAACATTAATTAAAGTTTAGGGTGAACCTATTACCTTTAATTAACATTAAACTTTACTAACAAATAATTAAAAAATAAAACTTATATTTTTATTGAGTTCTGTGGATGAGAACTAAAGAATTACATTGAATTCCGATCTCTATATATACAATTTTTATGCTACTTTCTATTCTATCTATATACTATCTTTTATGTTCTTTTTACATATTATCTTTGAACTATCTTTCTAATATACTATCTATATTTTAAATACGCTATCTTTTAATATGCTATCTTTTAATATGCTATCTTTTTATATATGTTCTTTTTAATATATTATCTTTTACGTTCCATCTTTATACTATCTTTTTATATTATCTTTTACATTATTTTGTGTTCTTTAATCTTTCTGACATTATTTTATATGTTCTTTTAATTCGCTTTATGTGTTTTGCTTATAATCTATCTTTTGTGGCTTATAATTATTCTTTCTTATCGTTCTTATTGTTAAAGATTGCTAAGCCGCAATTGATCGACTCTATTTATCCTATTGGTTCCTTGTCAATCATTCAATAAATATTACATCATGTAGATCATTACTCTTCCTAAATGTTTATCCTTTTCGGCTAATTATTTATCCATCTACGCCAATCCACGATTAATTTGTTCGTTCTTAATATTTAATAATTACATTTGGTGGTTGAATTTTATCATCTTTTCGTGCTTGATATTCGACCGTTTACAACGGAAGTAAATCTTTAAAAACTGGAGAAACATCACTATTATGTTCATGAAATCCAGTAAAAATCATTTGAATGGACGTTTTACTTGGCGGTTTCTTTTTAACGGTCTCTTCCATTTCTGCAGAAAATTCGTTACTGATATTGACATCCAAATTTCCACTAGCAATTCTCAAAAAAATATTTTTTTCTTCTGTTTGATAACTAGTCGAACGCAATTGCCTTACATTAAAATTTGTTGGAACAAATAATCTCTTGACGTACAATTGGACATTTCTAACATTTACTAAAGTAAGATGAAACATCTTCTGTGAAGAATATTTATTGAACTCAGATGCGATTTTAATCGCTGTCAGTTCTTGCATTTTCTTTGAAAGTTGTATCACCAACATATTATTAAAATGCACAGAAACCTCCCGAAGATTTTCTGTAAACCCTATTACATAAAATTATTAATATTATATATATTCGTAAGAATGAAATTATATTATTTAAATATACTCACCAATGAATTGGCCAAGAATTGTGCAAATTTTTCGACATATGGAAACTAAATTAATTTAAAGAATTAAAAATATCACGCCAAATATTAATTAACTAAAGGAATTTTCTAATTGTTAATGAATATTACCTCTATAGGTTTTCTCATATCCATAAAAAATGTTGTCCAAACTTTATCATCATCACCAGTTGGTCCAAAACTCGTAAATAATTGATTTCCATGCCAGCTGAAGTCCATTCCTTTTCCACCAGAAGAAACACTATTAAATTGAACGTTAATTAATAATAATTGATATTTTGTGTAAAGTTTCAGTAGTTACTTACAATGGATTTTCACAGATTTTAAACAAAGAATAAAAGCCTACACCAAAAGCTCCTATCTGTTAACATTATAGAATTAAAGTTAGTTAATTAACTTAATAATATCGATATTTTCAAAAAAAATTTACTTTTTGCTCATCAGGATTTCCTTCAGCAATTCTCTTTAATCAATTCCAATCATCCTGTTTAAAAGCGTATCCATTGTTTTTAAACAGAATTCGTATGACTTTATCATAAGCATCAGATGATTCAAATTTAATCTGGACACTGGATGATTTCGCATCATCTTTATTTTTTATATATAAATAATTAATATCCATTATATTATAAAATAAAGCGTATGAAAAGATGTAAAAAAATTTTTTAAACCAGAATTCTGCATCAACTCTCGATATACTACAAACTCGGAAGGGTATCTTATAATAGAAACAATTTCTTTAATAAATGAAGAAAAAAAATTAATTTAAAATTATTATATTAATTTTCAAAGAAATTTACCTAGCCAAAATCTTATCAATCAAAAGTCGTTGATTGATTTCGACTCGTTCCTCATTAGCATTAGACCTAACATTGTTTCTAAGATTGTTCAAGAACATTTTGAAATATTTTGAAATAAGAACAAAATGTGGGAAAAAAGCTTTTTTCAACCTTCTTATAGAAGTGATGAACGTGATGACAAAAAAAAAACCGGTTATCATTTGTTTTAATGAATATCAAAATCGGTTAATCATTGTGACACAGGATTCAAAACAATAATCAATAATTAGACAATTATCTTAAATCAATAATTCGCACACGTAAAGTTGCAGGTGTGCTATATAATTAGTATTTTTTATGAAAAAATTCCAAGTTTCCTATGCTAGGACCCTAAAAATATTAAAATAGTTAAGGCCCAGCCAAAAAAAAAAAAATTACTATTGACTGTACGCATTATTTCGGGAATTATGATAGTGTCAGTCAGTTACTAACAGGAAATATAATTCTGACCAACATTGTCGAAAATTGTCCAAAAAAAGGAAAGATCTACGTGATTATTTTTGAAGAGCCGGTTCGATCCCGTGACTCAAAAATTTATTTTTTATAAATAAAACTTTTCGCCAACTAGGGATTGGAACCGTCAAAAAAAAGCTTAACCGGTTAATAACCGGTTAATTAGAGTGTCTAACCGGTTAATAGTCGGTTAATTAATCAGTTAATTAACCGGTTAATTTGTAATGAGGCTAATTGGTTAATAACCGGTTAATATATAAATTTTATATTTTAACGTGTGTTTAGAGGCCTATTTTTTGTATTTTAACGCGCGTTTAAAGATAAATTTTTGTGTTTTTAACTAAATAGTATTATTTAAGAGTAATTTCTGGTAAATATTTATATTAAAATGTATACATTAGTAAAAAATTACATACAATATATTGTAATTACTTACTACCCAGTCATGCAGTGGTCACCGGTATCAGCACTAAGTTGAAAAGTTTTTTAATTATATTTTTAGTTCTATCCGAAATTCCATTCCAATTCTGATGGCCACTGTAGTATTCAAATTTTTGCATTTTTTCTTATTTAAAATACTATACCCGATCATATGCTGATTTCTGCATAAATCAAGGTTATAACTTTAGAATATTTTAACATAAATAATGTTAAATTATAAATATCATATGCAATATATTATATTAAAATATAAGATTGCAGGTTTATCATCGAATCTATTAGGGTGGGCAAAATTAAAGTTAATGCTAGTAAAGTTAAAGTTAGAAGTTGGCTAGGAATTACTAATTTAGGATGATCTGTATTTTAACCGGTTAAGTTAGCCGGTTAATTAGTCGGTTAATTTAACCGGTTAAATTAACCGGTTAACCTTAACCGGTTCCAATCCCTATCGCCAACATATAAACCTTTCAAGTTACGCATAGTATGTGTATTTTAGCAAAATAATTTTAATAAGTTAAATATGAAATTCTGATAGCTTGGGCATGAAGTTTCTATTTAATTGAGTAATAATGATGAAAACTGATAGTGGCTGTGAATTAGTTCAATTTCACATGATGATCAACACTTTCCAGCTAATAATTTTGTAATTCTAATGCGGATATCCATTGATATACAATAATAAAACAAATAGCACATTGAGATCCAATCAGATTTTTCAGGGGCCAAACTGATCAAATTTGGATTTTTTCTTTTGAATCTGGCTGATAATTCAAATTTTAAACATCTTATAGGTGATCACCTAATTCGGATTCCAGTTTTTTCATGATTTCATTTTGATACAACATGTTTTTTCTTTTTTTCATTGTATTTCTTAACATGACGTTAATATCAATTTCCTTTTCATATTTTAGTTCTTTCTTGTCAATAACTATATGTAATATCTAAGAATTATAAAAATTATATTTATAACCAATTGACTTTTGAATTTTTTAGATAGATTATTTACTTATAATTTATACTGATGTATTAAAATAATAAATTTAGATAAAATAACAAATGATTTAAGAATTTAAAATTTATTGAAATAAAAATTTAATCTAACTCAATAAGATTTACTATTTGTCTCTAATTTATTGCGGTAAATTAATATTTTACCTTTTTCCTTATATTTTGAAGGTATTGCAGAGAAGAAAAATAGTATTTGCTGGTAAACGAATGTTTCACATGAAGTTGTCTGGTTTTGTTGTTCCAAGAAAAATCTGTTATCTCAAAATAAGGTATTTAATTGACTCAAGTACGTGATCGATTAAAAATTGATTTAGCTTATTGATCACGTGCAATTGATTTTTGATCAACTACCCCAACGGCACCCAGAAAATTCTTCGAACTCGGCCGGCGTTATGCACTGACACGTGATCGAAGAATTTAGGATGTGATGAATAAAACGTGACAAATAGAATTTCATCTACTTGAAAAATCTAAGTCCCTCAGATAAATATAAACAGTGAAACTCGGACAGGGGAGTGACGATGTGATAAATAAAAATAGATCACGTGATCGAAGAATTTTTCTGGGTGCTGTTGGGTTATATTTTTTGATCGATTATTAAATTTAAACCACTAAATTTTATAAAATTTCACGTTTTTTATTCATATATCATTTTATTCTAATTTATTTATTATATTTATTGGCCAAAGTTTTTTTATGCAGAAATTAGAAAGAAATTGGTTTTTCATGCACCAGATTTCCATAATCGATCAATTTTGATAAATTTGATCGATCAAATTACCGAATTTGTTTGATCCAAAGGGTATTGTACTCCCTTCTGTGATATAATCCGCAATTCTTTATTCCAATGCACTTAGGAATCAGATGATCAGATCGATCTGAATTCCAATTGACCAAGATTGCAAAATTGCGGATCGTAAGACTTAAAACCTCTAAAATGAATAATTAACTATTATTTAAATGTTTGTTTAAACCATATAGCATATATAGTATACATCAAATTCACCTATTATTTCCACACTGCCATCACTTGCATATAATTTTTTGCTATCATTACAAATAGTACTAATAGACTATTGATAATAAACTTGTTGTATAAGTATTCAGATTTTATTTTCTATTTACCGTATTTCAATATTAACACAAATTGTAATGATAAAATTTTCAAACTTTACAAAAAATACTCATTTAATTTAACGTCAATTGTCTTATGAATATTTATTATTTTTACATTATCAAGTTCACACAGTCTTCATATTGCTTCTCCATTTTTGTATCAAAATTCATCATTTTATGTCTTCATATCCATTTTCGCCTGAATTTAATTATTTATCACGTAAACTATAAAACATTTATAACCACTTTTTTTATTTCTTGTGTAATGTATGTAAATTAAATCATAAACTAATTTAATAATTTTCTGAAATTTACATTGTGTATTTCTCAATTTTTTTAATAGTTTTTATTAAACTTATTTGTCAAAAATTTTTAGAAAAATTAACTGTTACTATGCTATATTTCTAGGCACAGCACTAATTTTATAAAAATGTTATGTAACACTCAAAGAAAAATCACTGACTATCTACAATTAATAATTAATATAATTCGTTTATAAAATTATAAACATTATTAATACATAGTAAATCATAATAATTTTTAACTTGAATACCATAAAATTTAAATTCTTCTACTTCATCTTTTAAATCAAACAAATTTTTCCTTTCACTATTGGAGTAAAAATTCATTTATAGCTAAATATTTTGACTTTTTTTTTCTTTCATAATATATTTTTTAATACAAGGTAAAATTTCATCACTTATTTGATTTATCTGATTTTCTATTAATAATTTCTTAATAAAAATATTCTGTGAATTTTTAAAAAATATTTCTAAATCATTTATATTGAATTTAAGTTCCAATCTTTCTATAAGGAAGAATTTGTTCTAAATTTTGTTATAATTGATTCAATATTAGAATCAAGTTGATAGAAATTAATAGAAAGATAATTAAGATTTTGTTGAAAATTTTTAATTAAATTAAATACTGAATAAATATTTTGATTGATCATTAAATCCAAATATTTCTAAAAATTCGATCTTAATTCTTAACACAATAAATTTTAACTAATTTAAATAATTTTAGCCTATATTTATTATTGTTTTATAATCCAAATCCAATATTTTCTAAGGAATTACCAATCATCTACAAATAAAGATTTTTAATTTAAACGGTTTTAGTTAGATTATTAATTTTTCTAATAAAATTGATAAAATTGGAATGAATAGATTCTAAAGCATTTTGTTGATCAAACACTTCAACTTTTAAACTCTCTAAATTTATCTTATAAAATATAATTATTTTTAAGGTATTTGAACAATTAAAATTTTTTAAATTTATTAAATAATTATTAAAATTAGAACAAACTTTTTTGAGTTTTGGTTGTAAATTAATCAGTTTGAATATACTTTCATCAATAAATTATGATAATTTATTATAATCACAATAATAAACTAATAAAAAGATAAAAAAAAAATTAGTTTTTAATAAAGAGAGACTCAATCACTCAAGTTAGTAATGTATTTTTAATTTTTGTATAATTATTTGTCCTTTTCATGACCATAAAATTTTTTATTCGTGAGAAAGTTATTACACTCTGAGTAGTAATCCAATGTTAGTTTTATTACAATAAGCTATGATATACATTATATTTATATTAAAAGGAAATTGATAAAGGATTTAAAATAGTAGCGTCTAAGTAACAATTATATAGCTGTGCATTATCAATTATACTCATAAGTTCGTGTAGATTTTACATAATTGTTATTTTGGTCGGTTATCTCATATTACTATGTATTGGCATAATAATAAAATTTTTAAAATTTTTGGATAGTGGCAGGAGTTTATTATAAAAAATTGCATGAAAGTCCCGTCAAACCAATAATATATAACTAGTATATAATAACAAGTAAACCATTTTTACTTAATTATCCTTTTATTTATAAATACAATTCTTTGCATTATAATACTTATACGGTGTAATATACAGTATATAATTTGTCTAAATGATACAATTATCTATACAAACAAGAAATTCATATATTCCTGCTCTTTGAACAGTAAAATCGATCAAGTAGTACCACAAGTTTTAAAATGTCATTTTAAGTAAGAATAATTAAAATGTTTGTACAGAAATATAATAAATTTTTTTTAATTTTTATATTGAACAATTATATTAATAATTTAAATTATACCAAATAAAGAAGGTATTTAACTATTTATAGTATAAAATTTTTATTGATAATTTTTGGTCAATGTTTAATTAAAAGTCTCATAACAAAATTTTTTTGACACCGTACTGATTACCACATAACATTGACTAAATATCCGGGTATAAATCAACTTGTCCTATTTAAAAATTGAATTATACCTGAAGTGAAACATGACAAATTGGCCAGAATTAACTTAATTCTACCAGAATTTTCTAATCAATAATGAAGTAACGCCAAAGGGGGGTCCTTCAGTCAGTGTTATACGGTATCTCACTAATTAATTTTACTTCTTATACTCATATTCTCATGTTATTAATTACTGAAACTATTATAGTAAATGCAACAGAATTCTGTGGGTTTTTTGTGAATTTATTAGTTCTGAAGAAAGTTTTATTTTTTTTCTTTAGATAAAAATAACCCAGAAAATTCTATTTTTAGTATTTCATCTTTTTTGAAAGATTTTGCAAATATTTGGATACCCTTTTTTCTTCTTCTTTAAAAAGAAAAAATCCGTAACACGCAATTCTTAATTCTTAGGGTCCATTTTTGGATAAGAAAATTTATATTTTGAATATTTCTTTAACAAGGTTGAAGTCCAAACATGGCTATGATGAAAAAATATATTAGACAAAGCAATTAATATTTAAAGTAGATAATTATGAGTATTTCAAGTTGTCTGTCTTATAGCCATTTATAAGTATTTGGTTTTGATGTAAGACTGCAAGTAAAACATATCAATTTACAATAATAATGAAAAATTTTAAACATTAAATATCTAATTTGGTTTTATAATTTTAAAATTTTAAACTTTATAAAATTAGTACGAAATATTTTTAAACTCGAATAGTTATAAAATCTTATTTTTTTTGTCATTAATAAAAAAATGTTATCATAATAACATTAGATAATTTGACATCAGAAGTAAATTTAAAAAGGGATAATCACTACGACTAGAGTAGTAAATATTTTACATGGCCTTTTTAGTTTATTATTACTAGGGATGGCAACGGTCACGGTCATTAACCGGTTATGACCGGTCATGACCGTGACCGATATCAGTCGGTCAAAGACCTCTGACTGACCGTTTGACCGACCGGTCTGACTGACCGGTTAACCGACCGTTTGACCGACCGGTTAACCGACCGTTTGACCGACCGTTTGACCGATCCTGAAAATGTTTGTGAAACGTAATTTAATAAAAAAATGTTTCGCAAACGTTTTTTTAATTATTTTAATAGAAAATGTTGTGAAAACGTTTTTATTAAGTATTTCAATTAAATTACGTTTCACAAACGTTTTCAGGATCGGTTAACCGGTCGGTCAAACGGTTGGTTAACTGGTCGGTTAGACCGGTCGGTCAACGGTCGGTCGGTCAGTCAAAGGTTCTTGACCGGTTATGACCAACCGATAACCGACCATGACCAACCGTTGCCATCCCTAATTATTACTAATTACGGATTTTAGCAAAGATAAATCAAATTACATTATACTTCCTATTTCTAATTTTCTCTACTTATTTTAAATATAAAAAAGAAGAGTTTTAATAGTTGGAGGCTCATTATATTAGATAGTCAAGTCTTATCATAAATTAGGTATTTTTTTCAATTACTGACTAGTGCTGCGAAAGGCTTGTTAATTCTGGATTTGTTTGTTACTTTTATTAGGGACGGTTGATTTTTGGACTTTTTTTTAGTTAATTTATTATTAGGCTTTTATTTATGCATTTTATAAAAAAGAATATATGGACTGCCGTGATGTTAAAAATTAAATATTGCTATTAGGACCATAATGACTTTGACGGACTGATATTTTTTGCTAATGGCTAAATAATTGATATTTTTTTTATCGGTTAAATATGACTACAAATTAATCCCTTAATAAGTTTTATTTTACAATTTAGCTATACTTTTTAATACTCGTACAATAAAAATAGCATGATCTTGCGTGGCTGACGCAATAACTATTATTTAAAAGCATCAAAATATCATTCCTTTGTGATCAAATATTCACCATGTATTATTAAATTATATTTATCACTATTATTTTTATAAACTACTTCTTACTTTGAAGATTGAAATTTGTTTAGCTTGTTAAATCACTAAAAATCAACATAAAATTTCTTGGAAAAATGTTCATTTATCAGAGTTTTTCAGAAGATTTTTTATTGGGTTTCATAATGATAAATCTAACAATAAAAAATTTAATTTTACTATGAGGAATTCCTTTACTTAAATTAACTTTATTTCGTATGCAATACACACTTGATGACAAAAACTCACGGGTATGCTTATTCCAAAAATTTAATTTTTTCCTTCATTTAATTTAGTTTTATAAGAATTATTAAATATAGGACATTGAGGAGATTTATGAAATTAAGCAAATATTTGGTCACCAAAATGGCCTAATTTACAGAAATGAACCCCCTAGAACTTGCATCTTAACCTATTTTTCCTCTGTGGACGGTGCGTCAAATTTGATATATTAGAGCTACATAACTTAATCAGACTGTTTATGTTAATACCATAATACCAATAAAATAATAGCCAATTATTAAATCTTTTATTGTTCCAAAAATAACATAAATTATTGTCAGTTTTAAGTATCCCTTATAATAGTGCGATTCATGGTATAATTTGAAATTTCTTTGCCTATTTTCTTTTATTGACAATTTACATGAGTTTAACAAATTAGTCATAAAAGTATACTGTAGTGCTTAATTGGTTTCACATGCTTGATCAATGAATTAATTAAGGCTTTTCAAAATCAATTGCAGTAACAGATAAATTTTGGGATATTTCATAAATCTTCCATGATGATATGAACTATATAAATATATAAGTTTTTAATTTATGTTATTATCAATTATTGGGATAATAAGCCACAGAAAATGGAAAATTAATGATGCATAATAACAAAAGACTCATTTAAAAAACTGTGTTAATTTTATTGCTCAATTACAAACTGATTTTATTTATGTAAAAGTTTTACAAATACTCTATATCAGTGTTGAGCAAAATATAATGAAATTCATATTAAATATTTTATAAAAAATATTTATAAAAATAAATAAAATATATTTTTTATAATAAGCAGAAAATAAGTAAATAAATGGATAATTTTTGTAGTAAATTAATTCTGATCATTTTTCATCATCCAATCTATTGATATTTTAAAATTAATTTTAATGTTTCTTATTAATAGAAGTTGAAAATAAAAAGATTTAAGTGAATATAACTTACTCTGTAAAATCAATTGCAAGACTTTCTGTATACGGATTAAGTAACCGAGATGTATAAACAGCTTGTGGATGGGTAGTAGTTAATTGATTGTTTTCTTTATAATCTTTAAAGAGATATTTTTCTGCTTTCAAAATCTCATCTAACTTAATACTAGTTAACATTTTGCTAATTAATTCAGCATTTGGTCTATTATCTGGATTTGAATCCCAACACTTTTTCATTAGATCAATATACCGATTTGATTTCAATTCAGGTATTTCAGGTATTTCAGGTCTAATTCCACTACATATTTGTAATACTAATTTTTCATCATGTGCGCAATCTTCAAAAGGTTGTCTTCCAGTTATTATAAAATACATAACCATACTAAAACTATATATATCTGCTGCTTGAGTATAAGGCTTGCCTCTTAATACTTCAGGAGCTACATAAGGTATAACTCCATAAATTTTTTTTTCATCTTTATTACTAACTTCTCCACAAAATCCCATATCTGAAATACATATGTCTATAGGAATATTATCTACAGAACTACTATTGTTAATTAATATATTTCCTATATGAAAATCACGATGAATCATCTGCTTCTCATGAATTTCTTTAAGACCTTCAATGGTATATTTTAATAAATAATATTTAACCCAACAATTAGAATTTTTATAGAAATAGTGCATCCAATTATTAAAGTTTCCACATTTTGCATATTGAAGAACTATAATATGATTTTTTGTATTGGGATCTTGAGATATTCCATATACTTTAAGAACATTATTAGATTCAACCCTCATAATTGAATATGCTTTAATCTATTTAAGTATAAACAAAATTAATATATTAATAATTATTTCAATTTTATTAAAAAATTCCATACCTCATTTAAAAATTCATCAGTAATATTATGAGAGTTATCTATACATTTTAATGCAATTTCTTTATAATTATCCCTTTTGCATATCTTTTTACCATAATTACATTTTAATGGACCATCCTTCCATATTGCCGAACATACTGTAGCAAAACCACCTCTACCCACTACTTCAATACATTCAAACTGATTGTATGGTATCCATTCAAATATTATATTACCATAACTATCAATTTTCAAATGCATTTCTTGAATAAAATCATCAATTTTTTGATTTCCACTCCAATTTGTCAAGTTATTTTGTATGTAATTTATTTGGCATGATTTACAACATTTATTTTTTAAATTACTATACGGCTTGCAACATCTATTACAATACTGATCATTTTGAAAAACTAAAATATAATCATTTGTATTTGGGTCTTGAGATATTCCACATATATCAATATAATTGTTAACCTGTTAAAAATAAATCAAATTATTGTTTAAGTAAAATACTTAATTGACTTAAATAATTTCATACCTCAATAAAAAATTCATTGATATCTAATGTTAAACATTTTAATACAACTTTTTTATAAGAATTCCTTATCCATGACTTTGTCCTATAATATGATGGACCATTCTTCCATATTGCTGAATAGATAATAGCAACATTATCATCAACTTTTCCAATTTCTTTAATATTAATGAACTGATTATATGGTATCCATTCAACAACTATATCATTGAAACCATTTATCTTTATTTGCTTTTCTTGAATGAAATTATCAATTTTTTCATTTCCACTCCAATTTGCAAATTTATTTTGTATATGATTTATTTCACATAATTTACACCATTCATTTTTTAAATCACTATATGGTTTACCACATCTTTTACAATTCCTATTTTGAAGAACCAGAATATAATCATTTGTATTTGGATTTTGAGATATTCCATATATACTATTATATTCGTTAGCCTAATAAATATAAATAAGATAGTTATTTCTTTTGAATATTTAATTTATTAAATTTATAAATAATTTTTATACCTTATTGAAAAATTCCTCAATATCTAATGCTAAGCAATTTAATATAACTTTTTTATAAGAATTCCTTATCCATTCCTTTTTATCATATCTATAATATAGTGGACCATTTTTCCATATTGCTGAATATATAATAGTAGCATTATCATCAACTTTCTCAATTTCTTTAATATCAGTAAACTGATTGTGTGGTATCCATTCAACTATTATATGAGCCCAATGATTAATTTTTAATTGCATTTTTTGAATAAAATCATCAATTATTTTGTTTCCACTTAAATTTGTAAAATTATTTTGTAAAATTAACCATGGTATACACTTCTTATCATTTAAAACTATAAAATAATTTTTTGTATCTGGATGTTGAGATATTCCATATATATATTCGTAATTATCAACCTATAAATATAAATAAATAATAATTAGCTGAAGTAAAATATTTAAGTTGGCATGTAAAAAATTTTCATACCTTATTGAAAAATTCCTTAATATCTAATGTTAAGTAATTTAATACAACTTTTTCATTGGATTTCCTTATCCATTTCTTTCTATAATATAGTGGACCATTTTTCCATATTGCTGAATATACAGCAGTATTATCACCAACTTTTCCTATTTCGTTAATGTTAATAAACTGATTGTATGGTATCCATTCAACTATTTTATCATATGTACTATTAATTTTTAATTGCATTTCTAAAATAAGATTATCAATTATTTCATTTTCACTGGTCCAGTTTTTAAACTCATTATTAAAATAATTTATTTGACATGGTTTACACCATTTGCTAGAAAATTCATAGTAAAATTCACCACATTTTTCACAATATGCATTAGTTGATAAAACCATGATATATTCTTTGGTATCTGGATTTTGAGATATTCCATATATGTCATTATAATTGTCAACCTATATATATTAATAAGTATATATGTTTATTTATTTTGAAGTATTTAAATTAAACTTATAGATAATTGTCATACCTTACTGGAAAATTCATTGATATCTAAAGATTTTAATACAACATTTGCATAGGAGCTCCTTATCCATTCCTTACTAGTATGTAATGGACCATTCTTCCATATTGCTGAATATATAATAGCAGCATTGCTATTATCTTTTGCAGTTTCTTTAATATTAATAAACTGATTGTATGGTATCCATTCAACTACTATAATATCAGATTTATTAATTTTTAATTGCACTTCTTGGATTAGTTCATCAATTTTTTTATTTCCACTCCAATTTGTTAAATTATTTTGACATAAACACCACTTATCCCGTATGTCTATATATTGCTTACTGCATTTTTCGCAATATTCATCCTGTGAAACTATGATATAATTTCCTGTATCTGGATTTTGAGATATTCCACAAATTAATGAATAATACTTCTTATAAAAGGAATCATATACTTTATAGTTGTTAACCATCAGTATATCTTTAACCTGTTTAATGTAAATAGATTATTACTATATTAAAGAAAGAATTTGAATTAAAATAACTTTTATACCTTATTAAGAAAATCATCAATCATATTTTGTGACTTATTTAAATAATTTAATGTAATTAATGTAACTTTTTTAGGCTTTCTTATCACTTCCTCTTTAATAGAATTATAATATAATGGATTATCATTCCATATAGCTGAATGTATTATAAGTAAATCATTTTTTTCTATTTCTTTAATATTAACAAACTGATTGTATGGTATCCACTCACATATATTACTATTTTGTCTATTATCTGTTAATTGCATTTTTTGAATAAAAGTATCAATTTTTTTATTTCCACTCGTCCATTTTGTAAAATTTTTTAAAAAATAATTTGTGTGATATTCCTGACGACGCAATTCATTATACATTCCATTTTCTAAAACAATGATATATTCTTTTGTATTTGGGTTTTGAGATATCCCATAGCATGCATTGTAATTTTTAGTTAAATTTATAAATAATTTCCATACCTTATTAAGTAATTTATCAATAATATTTTGTGAATAATTAAAACACTTTAATGTAACCTTTAAATTGGGATCTTTCATCCATTTCTTTTTAAATTTATTATAACGTAATGGACCATTACTCCACAATGCTGAATATATAGTAGCATTATTATCTTCAAATTTTCCTATTTCTTCAATATTAATAAATTGATTGTATGGTATCCATTCAACTATTTTATCTTGTTTATTAATTTTTAATTGCATTTCTAGAATGATATCATCAATTGTTTCATTTCCACTGGTCCACACATTTTCAAAATAATTTACATGACATGGACTACACCATCTAATACATTCATTTGTATATTTTTCACCACATTTTTCACAATATTTATCTTGAACAATGATGTATTCTTCTGTATCTGGGTTTTGTGATATTCCATACAATTCATGTAATCTATCTAATCTATCATATCTATTATATAATAACTTATTATACTTTTCAGCCTATAAATAAAAATAAAGTTATTATATTAAACATTCAAGTTAAATTTACAAATAATTCTCATACCTTACTAAGTAATTCATCAATAATATCTTGTGAATTATTAAAACATTTTAATGCAACTTTTATATTAGGATTTCTTATCCATTCCTTTATATCAGTATTATAATGCAATGGGCCATTATTCCAAAATGCTGAATATATAGTAGTAGTATTGTCAAAAACTTTTTCTATTTCTTTAATATTAATAAATTGATTAAATGGTATCCATTCAACTACTATATCACTAGGTTCTTCAATTTTCAATTGTATTTCTAGAATGATATCATCAATTATTTCATTTCCACTGGTCCAATTTTTAGATTCATTCATAAAATAATTTCTGTGACATGGCATACACCATTTATTATATTTAGATGAATATCTATCTGAATATTGTTCACCACATTTTTCACAATATATATCTTGTAAAACGATGATATAATCTTTAGTATCTGGATTTTGAGATAACCCATATATTTCATCATGACATGTATTAGCCTATTAAATATAAAAAAGTTATTATGTATGTTAAATTATTTGAATTAAACTATAAATAATACTCATACCTCAATTAGAAATTCATCAATTATATTTATTATATTTTGAGAGTTGTTTAAACATTTTAATACAACATTTGTATTAGGCTTTCTTATTAATTCTTCTTGATTACTATCATAATGTAATGAACCATTATTCCATAATGCTGAATATATAGTGACAGCATTATCAACATTTTTTTCTATTTTTTTAATATCAATAAATTGATTATATGGTATCCATTCAATTATTATAGTATTATTATACCGATCAACTTTAATTGCTTTTTTTGAATAAAATCATCAATTTTTTCATTTCCACTTGTCCAATTTGTAAAATTATTCTTTAAATAATTTATTTGACATGATATACACCAACTTTCATCTGTGTCTGTATATTCTTCACCACACTTGTTACATACATTAAAATGATATGTAAGCATTATTTATTCTTTCATTAATTTATTTTTTAAAAAAAAATTTTAAAGCGCTAAACTTCATATTTTTTATAAATTTATAATGTTACACCAGAGTGTTTGTTACCTCTACACAAAATAACAATATAATATTTTAAATATTGTTTCCAATATAGTTGAAATCGATGTCAATCATGTCAATCATGCAACACAAAAAAAATATGCAAGCAGATCACTGATCATATGATATTTGTCCTAATTTTTATATTTCTCTAATTCTCTATTTTATGTGATAAAAATAAAATAATATTATATTCTCTTTGCTGAGGTATAATAGAGACATATAACTTTAATGACTTAGACGTAAGACGAATACATTTACGTAAATATTACTTATCTAAAAATTATTTGAAAATAACTACTACAAAAATCTTTCGTATTCCGCAGATCGGCGGATACGTAAACAAATAAACTAAAATAAAATTAATTAAAATTTTGTTGAACTAAACAATATACAGCCCATAATTCTAGAAAGCCCCATAGTTTACGCCGAAACCGTAGGACAATCTATTTTGTCTGAGGATCTGCATGAAAATCTGCGGGTGCCGTTCCACCATCAATTTAAATAAATCACCTCATTTTTACTAAATCTCATTCGTTTTTTTCACGTATTTTACCTTTCCATTTTTGATTGCCATCATGTGAGTTTTCTTGGATTACCCCAGCGTACCCTTCAAAAATGTCACGAAACGGCCGGCATTAAGAAATTAAGAAATTAACTATGTGACGAATAAGTTTTTACCTACTCGAAAAAAAACTGTCCCTCAGATACTTATAGAAAAATGGAAACAAGGAAGGGTGTGACAAAAAAAACAGCCACGACATTTTTGAAGGGTACGCAGGGTAAATCGTTCTCTTATTACTGCGCCACCCGCAGCTGTCTTCAAAAAGTCAAAAATTATCACTTTATGGTTCTTATAGGTTCCACTTTTTTGTCAAAGAAAAATTGTATAGAGCTTTGTTGTAACAATGCTTAATACTCTTGTTTGTTATCGTTTCTCCAAAATATTACAACTTTATTGTTTTAGTTTGATAAAACTCTATTTTCTAAATAAAACTTCGTATAGGTGTAAAATAAACTATTATAAAAAAAATGAAAAAAAATTAGTTTTAATAAAGAGCGTCACAAGTTATTGATTTTTTTAACTCTCATATAATTTTTTGTCCTTTTTTTCGACCATAAAATTTTTGGTTATGACTTATAAGTAAAACTTTTTTGTACCAATATTAGTTTTATTACAATAAGTCCAAATTGTAAAAAAAAGATTCCAAATAGTAGAATCTACAGTATATAATTTTAGATTGTTACATAATATTATAATAAAAATTAAAATTCTCACGATATTTGCTTGATTACATATTTTATATTAACATCTACAAATAAATTAGTAGTTTAAGTGAGAGCCATTATATAAACCGTAATTCAATAGATGCTTTTAACAGTATTTAATTTTTAGAGTCACGGTAGTCCATAAATTCTTTTTTATAAAATGCATAAATAAGCTTAATAATATAACTAAAAAAGGGAAGAAAAAATTTACCAAAAATAAACTGTCCTTAGTAAAAGTAGTAAACCAAAATCCAGCATCAGCAAAACTGTTCTCAGTATGAAAATATATACCAATTTAATATGAACTACATAAAACTTTATAGCAAGCCTCAAACTAAATAAGATTTTTGATTATCTGTTATTATCACAAAAATTATCAAAATTTAAAGTATTTTGTATGTGTTTTACCAAGTTCGATTTTTAATAATAATTTGTCATTAAGAACGTAATTTTCAATACAAAAACACAATTCATTAAGTATTAATTCATCAACTGCAATTAAAAAGTGTAAATATTTGTTTAAATATCATATTATTTGTGAGTTCAAGTTTACCGATATACTTACTGTACATATATCTGAAATTTATCAATATTTGAAGTGTAAATGTTATATTAAAATAACTTATTAATTATTATATTCACTTGATACGAGTATTAAATACTTTCATTGTAATACTGTGTTCGGATTTTACTAAAATATTCTTTATCCAATTATTTGAAAATGCAAAACGAAATAAGGTGAACTTAATATAAAGAATGTAAAGTTTTCCCAACTAATATTTCCACATCAGAAATTCGCCAATTTTAATGATTTTGGAATATTCTTATTTTAATATTTATTCCGAAAAAAAAAGTTAAGTGATAAAAATTCAGCCTACCCTATAAAAAAGTTATTCCGTGTTTTTTTATTCCATAATATTCCGTAAATGTTTCATCTTCACGCAGTTTTTACAGAAATTACGAATAAAATTTTTACAAGGCTAAAACATAATTATGTTTGACAAATGACAAATAATTTAATATGATCCTATTCGATTATTCTAAGTATAGGATTCGTTATTAAAGCGAAATTAATCTTGAATTATGTTGTATTATTCGGTGAGATAAAGGTTAATGGGTCAAAAACCTATCCAACTGAACAAAAATAATACTAACGAAAAGGGGAATAGTAACTTTATAAGAAAATTATGTTTATGAATATAATATTTGGGTAACAGTGACAGTCAATATTTTTTCCAAATATAATTGACTTTATTTTATCCTTTTTTAAGTCTTACCTTGCTGATTGGTAACTACATATTTACATTGGCTGGTTCAACCCTAGTCTAAGATAATGTTTTGAGCCTTTCTTAAATAATTAAAATAAATTAAACATAAGTTATAAAAATATTATTTATACATACATGTATCACATGAGAATATTTCATTAAATTTAAAAGAAACTAGAATATTAACAATTATTTTATTTTTATAATTTCTCAGTTAATATATCAAGATAGATACTTCCAAATATTAGAATCCAAATTACAGTCAGCTTTCGATATAACGAATCCTCCGATTTCAAATTTGCCATAAGATTATAGCGAAGAATGCAAAGAATTTAATTGGTTGATTCGTTATAACAAGGTGATACCTAACGTATTTAATTGGTTAAATGTCACGTGTTGTGAAAATTTCGTTATAAAGCGAGTTCGTTATAACTGTATTTAGTTTAACAACAGCATTTTGACTAAATAAGCAAAAAGTATATAGATAATGTATATATTAGTGATATTAAATTAATAAAATAGTAATAAATTTCTCTTTAAATTGTTTGTTTGCAACCAGAAATGTATTTATGAATATGTCTTGTTCATGAAAATCTAGTATCTCAGATAAGTGATAGCCAACAAATAAAATAAAAATAAAAGATGTAAAATGAATGACATGAAATAGTGCTCCGTAAAAGTAATTTTCATCATGCTTTTCTTGATACGCAAATTACTTAAAAATTCCTTCTTTGTAAAGACGAGTTTAAGTTTATAGTCAGAACTATTATCACCATTAGGGATTACCGGGGATGACCATTGACTTTCATTGTTAAAGGTCTATCGCAATATCACTTTTAGTACCATACTTCGAGAGCAATAAAATGAAAAGCACCACTAATCATATAAATGTAATCTATTGTGAAGTATTTATATATGACAAGTAGATCAAGTTTACAATAAAATTTTGGCAAATCATTATCATACGTAAATAATTTAAATAAATTAAGGAAAAAAAAACTAGACATCAGGTATAACTCAGTTAAACTTTCTCTTCCTGATTATTTCTCTTATTTGATTATACAAACTTTTCAATGTCCGAAATATCATTTAGTTCTTTTTATCAAGAATTTTCACCTTATATTTGTTTCAAGAAATTTAACTCGTATCGTAAAATTTTTCAAGTATTTCGTGTTTATGAATAATTTTTATTTTAATTAAAAAACGAAATGGAATATAATAATAAATTAATAACTTTGCAGAAACCTATTAATTTTGAAAAATGTGATAAACATATTACTGACAAGTAGCAACTATATACTCAACTTATTGTTGAAATATTTCAGTGTATGTGATATAATTACAATTATGTTTAATGGATATATAAAATATATTTTTAATATCTTTAATATATGCTGATGAGCGTTTCTCATCTGCCGACAGCTCTAAGGCCACATAAGTGATTGCCTTGGCCCTGAGAAAAATACTACAACTTTAATATATGCTGAAAATTAAAATTATAGAAAATTACAAATGGTTTATTGATTTTATAAAAACTATTATCATTATTTTTAGTATTTCGTAAACTTTATATGATGTAAAATTACATAATATTTTGCAGTAAAATTACGAAGTACTTCAGCATATCAGCATATAATGTAAATTAGATTCTATAATATTTAGTTATTGTATTGCAGAAATAAAAAAAGTTATATAGAAAAATTCTTATGAGTAAAATTTATTAAGATGTGTCATATTTGATTCTAAGCTATACTAGTACTGTAATATGAATCTTAACAGTCACATTATTAAAATTAAAAAAAAAAAATAAATAAATTGTTAAGTTTCTTTTAATAAATTTTATATGTATATAAAATTTATCGATTTTTTTTTCATCATCTTTATTGTTTATATACTGTATATAATCGTTATCTCAAAAAATAAATCATAAGATCATTACCATTTAACAACTAACCATAAATATGTTATAATAATATTACCCACAATTTATATGATAACTTTACCCATTTTACCGGTAACCTTTATATATATAACCTTTATATTTTCGGGTCCTCATATAATTCTTCGCTTCACTCCGAAAAATTAATTATGTTTGTACTTATTCATATTGTAAATTCACTATATTGAACTTCAAATAAGTTATATTTATTTACTAGATCAACTTTTACTTAAAATAAACAAATATTTATGACGTTAAATAATATCAAAACTTACAAAAAATATAAAACTTAATTTATGAAAAAAATAAACCAATTATTTGTTTAATACCAGCCAAACTTGTTAAAACTAATCTGGCCGAAATTTTGTTGAACGTTATTATGTTTAAAAGCAATTCCTCGACTTTCTATTAACGCTAAGAAATTTGACATATAAATTTCTGCAAATGATGAGAAATAATACTATCAAATAAAATAATAATAATAATAATAATTAGATTCATATATGAGTCATATAAAGCAAGTAAATTTTATAATCATAATAAATAATACTTACTTCATGTCCAGAATTATGAGATAGAATAATATTATGTGCTAATTCATGACATAATGTCATAAACCAATATGCCATAGCATAAATTGTATGTTTAATCTTACATTCTTCATCATGTAATATAGTGTAAACTTTTAGATTGAAAAACAATTCTCCATTATTATTAAATGCGATTGAACTTGCATTTTCATCATAAAAAATATGAATAGTTGCTGTCGAAAGCCCAAAAACACTTGCTAGATCTCTTAACAAATTAACAAAACGGTTTAATGAAGCTTCATCATATAATTGAGGAAACATTGACCGAATTTTAGGAAGATAAAATTTAATTTCTTGTATAGTTTTAATATGGGATAATGAATAAACTAAAAAATAAATGAAACAAATCAAATTAATATCAAAATAGAATATATATAATACGCGAATATTATTAAAAATAATTTCAATATAATTTACCAGGTATGACCTCGCAATGATTTATTTGACTTTCTTCGTTTACATTGACAATTTCGGTACTACGTTTTTGATTAATGATAACACCTGCATTAGAACGACAAGCTTCTACAGCATTTTGTAACTGATTTTGTAAAATTTGAGTAGTTTCAGAAGTTATTGTTGGTGTCTTATTTGTTGTAGTAGTAGTAATATTTACTGATTTATTGTTCGGTTTAAGATTAAGAATAAATGATTTCTTATCTTTTTCATAATTTGTGTTCTTATTTTTTGATATACCATTAAAAATAGATCCGAAATTATAATCATGAACTGAATTTGTTCCTCTTGATTGTCGTGGTCGAGAGTTATTATTATTATTAGAAAATAATGAATTAAAATTATTATAATTATCATGATTATGGTTTGCTGATGTTCCATTATTATCGGATTTAACCTCATTTTCTAATTGATCTGCTATATTTTGTAATTTACGCTGTTGCAAGATACGATCAACTGGATATCCCATTTCTTTCAAAACTAATAAAGGTGAAGTTAGTAGCATATTGAAATAGCCAACATCTTTCCAATTAGATACTTTGTAAATATTCTTAACAATATGTTTTGAAACATCGAGTAAATTCGAACTAGATGATATATAAAGAGTCCATGAATCCATTCCAGCATCTTGAAGAATGAGGGTGTCAGTACGTTCTTTCTTTTCATCATTTTCTAATACATAAATTGTTTCTATGTAATCAACCTCTCTAACTTTTAGTTTTTCAAGCCATTTTTCATCTCTTTTAATATCGTGTTCTTTGTATTCATGATAAAATAAACTCGATCTTTCCATAATTTCATTTTGTAATTGTTTAGATTTATTGGTTTCTTTAATCCCTCTTGGAGTTGAAGTTTCTTTTACAGAATCTTGTAATGACCTACATCCTAGTTCCTGATAAAATAATAATAATAATAATAATTGATTATTGCTCGCATTTTATACAAATCCAACAATATCATGTTATACATAAACTAGGTGTAACCCGTCGCGCTGCGCCGGGGATAAAACTTGCCCAGAAAAGTAACAATGGTATGGCTATATTTTAGAAATAGGCTTAGTATTTTAATAATATTATTTACAGTATGATAAAAACAATCTAATAAATTTATATAATTTACATATTTATACTAATAAAAGTGAATTGTGTATGAATGTTATATATAAAATATTACATATGAAATATTGTTATACATACAAAATGTTATTTTTAAATGTGAAATCTATTTATAGAATGAAATATTTCACAGTATTCAATGTTTCTTGTCTTGCAGTTCTAACCATTATCTATAAAAACCTTAACATATAATTGCTCATGTGTAAAGACAGGTTCAGGTAGGTAAACACCAACCCTGCTCAGAGTTTGCCCTTGTGATTTATTAATTGTTATTGAGAATGCAACACATACTGGAAATTGACATTGATTCAAAGTAAAGTCTCATTATTTTTCACCTCATATTACTTGTC